TAATTTTGTTTATTTTGGTATTTTATTCACCGAGTTACAATCCTTCGAAGTAGAGCTATCAAAGCTGAAATATTTCAGCTTTTTAGTATTATTTTATACTATAATTTCGAGTCCGCGTTTAGCACATGTGATAGAGTTGTAAGTGGGTCTCAGACTAGTTTATCGACATTGATAGTTGAAGCTTTGTTATGCACCCAAGATTGGGTGATAAAGTGTACAAATCCGATAGTTGACAACGTTAATGACATCTTGAACGATGATGATATAGTTGTGGGTAAAAAAATTACAATCTTTATTATTGTTTTATACAATTATTACTTTTTATTAAATACTAACAATATTTTCATTTATGTTTATATAGAGAAAAAAATATGGATGATAATGATATGGGCAAGAGGCCAGTGGAAGATTAGATTATTAGTTTATGAAGTTTTTTAGTTTGATTGATTTAAAGTTTAAACTATGACTATTGTTGTTACGGTAATACTTTTATATGTTTGTTTTAAAATTGATTAACTTTTGTTGGTGAACTTGATTTATATGTTAGTTGTTTTTATTTGGAAAATTAATTTTTGCAAATTGCAAGTTATAATATTATACATCAATGTAGATTAGTTAGGCATGAAACGGAAACATATTAATTTTGCAAGTTATAATATTATACATCAATTTCGATTACATATACTCTATGTAATTAAAGTTGTACCGGTCCAAACGGGTCCAAAAACCGGAAAACCCGGACCTGGACCCGGACACGGACACGGACACGGACACGACTCATCCGGTCCGGTCCATGGTCCACAAAATTCTCCATAACCGGTCCGGTCCAAGAGCCGGTCCGGTCCTGTCCGGTCCGGGCCGGTCCAAATGCTCACCCCTAATTTGGTATATAAATACACTGTTTGGAAAATCCACTTTAAGCATCTCACTAAGATCTTGCCTAGACATCACTCTTATAAGTAGATCAATTAGTATTATAACTGGAATTACAAATAAATCTTATTTATAGATTCATACTAACAACAATTAACTTAAATATAAGTTACACTTAACAAGCATAGGAAGTGCAACTCAACTTATAGGTTTTCTAGCGAAAACTCAAAAACTTCACGAGCAGAACTTCGACATTGAATACTTTTTCCGTTGGGCTTTCCTCCATCGCAACGCCCCAATAAAATGCTCAAAAACTCAGAAATTTAGATCTCTAGGGAGAGGGAAGAGTTCCAGAGAGAATGTTGTGGAAAAAGAAAGAGAAAAATGGGCCATATATAGAAATTCTCAAAAAGCACGTTGCGCCCTGCCACGTGATAGTTTTCTAGTGGACCACGTCGACATCTTGTTGGTAAGGGAAGAGGTGTCTGTAAGTGCCATGTGTCGCCTTACGGGTGGTGCCACATCGCCATTCGCATGTACTTCTCGTGTTCTTCGAAAAATTATAACTTTCACACATGAGCTTCATTTTCAACGTTCTTTATATCTATAGATTTGCATTTCCAAGTAATACAACTTTTGTTTAGATTTCAACAGCTATTTCACAGTCTATTTTCACTTTATATATTATAAAGAGTACATCGTGAAAGCTCTTGCGAAAATCATATCTTGTTCATACGAGTTTTGTTCTCGACGATAACTAAGATGTATTAACTTATTGATAGTGATGTTTTAAAAAAAGTTATGTTCTCGATGTTCTTTATATTTACGGTTTCAAAATTACGTAGACAAATCATAACTTCTTCATATGAAGTCACATTTTGGCGTTCTTTATGATCATGGGTTCGTAATCATGATTACTACAACTTTCATCAAGATTATTTATTCAAAATGAGTCGTTTATTATAAATGTTTATTTAACATAAATTGTTAGGTTTTCAAATAAGTTTTTACACAAATATTATATACATATAATATTTGCCCATATTATATGTACATAATAAATAAATATAATTAACATTTATATAACCCATATCATGTACAAAAACTTCTTATTTATTTATTTGCAATTACCCTATTTGAGGATTTTAATTATTCAATAAAAATAAATAATCATAACTATAATCTCTTAAACGTGAATTCATAGGTGTTACAAAAGATATAGAAAACGAGAGAGAGAGAGAGAGAGGGGGGGGGGGTTAGTAATTATTCTTCGATTTAAAGAGAAACACGATGAAAAAAGTGATCCAAACAGAGAATGGGAAGAAAAAAATGGGGAGTCATTTAGAAGGGGTTATTTATTTATAATTAAATAGGGAGAATTTCATATATATCCTTACAAACTTTAAATATTACGTAAGTATCCTTATAAAATTTGATATTACATATATGTCCTCTAAAATTATAGAATTCACGTTTATATCCAAATTTATATTTTAATTAGGATTAAACAAATTTAATACTTAAAAATTGATCTAAAATAGAAAATATTATATGATAATACTAAACTGTCCTTCCTAAATAAAATTTAACGTTGAAACAATTTAATTAGAATCTCATGCGTTGCTTTTCTCCTTTTAGGTTTAGGTTTTGGAATTCTAAATATGATAATAAATGCAAAGCTTTGGTTGAGATAAATAGAATAGGAAACAATAGAGAATATGATAGATCACTTGATTAGAAATGAGTTTTCCAAAAAGATTGTATGGATCGATTAATTTTGCTGTATGGATTCTTTAATTTTTTACATACATCTAAAGTCTTGTGCTTCAAATCGATAATTATGTGTTCTTCTTCAACAATTGGCTCAAATTCCAAAATGAGTTTTCCAAAAACTAGAATGGAAATGGATGCGTTAAAGGTAAAACTGCTACATAATATAGTAATATACTTCATATTTTCACAATCATTCGAACCCATATGTTCTATATGTGTCCATACAAGCTTGTCTTGTATTATTATACTTTAAATTTAGGAACCTAAAAGAAGAAGAAACGATACGAAAGATAATCCTAATTTAATTCGTTTAATCGTTAATAAATTGGTTTTCATTCTAATATTTAATTTGGAGGGATATTTTAGTAATATTATATGAGATATTGAGTTTTAGATAAGTTTTTAAATATTAAATAGGTTTAATCCTAATTAATAAATGAATTTGGATATAGACGTGAATTCTATAGTTTTAAGGGGACGTATATGTAATATTAAATTTTATAAGGATATTAACGTAATATTTAAAATTTACAAGGATATATATGAAATTCTCCCTAAATAAAAATAAATATAGTTCAAGAAAAAGGATAAAAGAAAAGAGCATATAAAGGTGTAACTTTTAGAAACCATACCACATGTATAACTTTTAGAAACCATAGAAACCACATGGACCATTCATGCAAGGTTAGAAATCATGATTGACCATTTATATCGAAAATAACTAGAAACTAAATTTGTGATTTTTGATAAATTATAAGGACAATTTATATAATTTTATCTAAAATAAATCTTTTATTTTATTTAAATCATAATTAAGCATACAAAACAAATAAACACTATAAACATCAGTGAAAATCGTATCAATTTTGTGTCATATTTTGAACATAACACGACACCATGTTTTTACACTTGACACGAACATGAATTCGAAATTCAATGTTTTCATAATTCCTTATCGTGTATGGGTGACAATCTATGGCACAACACAAAACGAAATTTGGACGAAATCGAGTTTCAAATTCGTGTTTGTGATCCTATCAAGTGTAAAAAATACGTCATCGTTTTGTGTTCATATTCAAATTTTGACACGATATTAACTTGTCTTTCTGATGTTTTATATAATTAATTATGAATTAAATAAATTAAAAAGCTTATTTTATTTTTATCTTTTTCGTGTGGATCATTTTTATAATGTTTTAATTAGATTGTTTTTGTGTCAGTAAAGAAATATACAAGTTGTGTTGTGTTCATTTTATATAAAAAGTTAATGTGTCTTATCATGTAAGTTAAAAACATAATATGACTATGGACTTGTCATCTCTAGTTTCATTTTGTGTATTTTTGTCATGTTATATCATAGATTGCCACTCTACCGATCATGTTTTTTCTAGATTCAATCCCAACTTATTTTTATCGTGCGACAACTTTTTCTTTTGAACTAACTTTTTGTTTTTGGTTTATAACTCATGTGTTTTTCTTGGTATTGTTGTTTACCGTGTTTTTGATAGTTTTTACTATTAAAATCTTTAAAAATATTTGATTCTTTTAAAAAGCATGAGGAGATATTTTGTCTCATTTTTATGGCAAAATGCATATCAAAATCCAAAATGGCAAAATGCACATCAAAATCCAAAATGTTCATGCTGAACGAACAATAATTTAGACCAGTTGACAATTAACAAAATTGTCATATTTTATTTTTCACACAAAATAAGTGTCGATATTAAAAAGTTGTTTTTTTAGAGCATAATTATCCGAATATTTTATAATTATAAAAATCATATTTTTCAATTAAAAAACATGTTTTGTTTTGGCGTGGGGTTGTTCAAAAACCAATTTCTCACCAAAAACAATGTCATAGTACGAATATGAAAAACCATGTTAAGCGAGAGTTTTGAATTAAAATTGATGTTTTGTTAAAAATAGAAAAATACCCCATTTTAGTAATTTTATATCTGCAAACTATATTTAGATCACTAGTCTTTCGTGGAATCCAACGCAAACGAAACAAAATAAAAAAAACAACCAAAAAGTGTTGGCATTTGTATCATAGTCCACACTTCATATGACGTAACAATCCTATTCAATAGTTTAAGATCCTATCATATGCATCATCCAATCTTGTAGTAAATTTGGATACACTATCAAACCATATGTGAATTGTAAATCGAAGAAGAGAATCATGATTAATTTGTAAAATTAAGTTCATCATCTTAACGTTGCTGTTTAGCGAGAAGGATCATCTAAATCGGAGTTACTCCTGATTTGAAATATAAACAATCATAATTTTCGTAACTGACTGTAAATTTCCAGAATTCTTTCATTCAAAATTGATACATGAAAAGAGTAACAATTCAGATGTTGACTGTGAACCTGATGCGTTCTCGGTTCTCCAGCGTCATCCGGCTTCCGCCGCCGCCAGCTCTCAAAATCCACCGCGTACTGTCATATACTTTATTAATATTCTCCTTATCTGCATACCTCAGGCTGTCGAAATTTCCTTCGATAATGAAATCACCTTTTGCTAATAGCCACCGTGAACGGAAGAGCATGTAATTCACATCGGAAAGATCAAAATTTTATGTACCTTCGCTGATTCGAATGCTAATATGATTAATCGGAAACAGAGTGATTGTTCCAACACAGGAGCATAGAGACGCATCGTCGGAGTATGTAGAATCTCGTTCTATGCTGCTTCGCCATAGTTAGGCATCGCTTCTGGAAAGTAGCTTTCCGACGAATTTGCCGGCGATAATCCGACGATGACCGGAATAAATAGGAATAAGTATTCATGAAGAGGAGGTTAGTTAAAAATTGGATAGAATCTGTTAGGGTTTCTTGGGGATGCAAATGGCCGATCGTTTGTTTATATAGTGAAAAGTTCGTGAAGCAAAGTGGGGTCCACCCGATATTTTTCCATGTTTTATTCACCTTTGCGATGTAGACTCTCTAACCCTTGAACTAACGCAAAACATTAATAGAAATGAAGAAGTACGAGACAAATAGTTTTGTATCAATTATTGAAGTGAATTTCATATATATTTTTATTAAACATTTTAAAATATCGTATTTGTCTGGTCTAACATCCAAATATTATATTTCTCCATATTAACTATTTAAAATAACATATTTATCCAAATATTTTTTTTAATAGCTTTAATATTCTATAATCTTTTTTTTCATATATAACAATAATTAAAATTGGAAAAAGAACAAAATGGATCACAGTGCCCTTGACTTCTAAATCAGAGAAGCTGTTAGCAGGATAATGAGATTTTACCGCTCAACTTCTTCTTCACAATCATCGGACCTCTCGGCTCTCGTTGTCTTCGTGCTTTAATGTGTTTTTTTCACAACTCTCTTCCATATACTCCCTTCGTTTCTGGCAAAATAATCAGTCAGAAGAGATAGAAAAAAGCTTGATTAGACAAGAGTGATAATTTTTTTGACTTTTAGGTCTAACACCATGTACGTTCCATGATTATAATTGTAATGATTGACTTAAATTCATGCTAATATGTTAACATTATTCTCTATGTTGGTTTCAACAATTACAAAAAATTCAGAAACAACTAGTAGCAAAAATATGTTGAAGAATACTCAAATTTCAAAAGAGAGAAAATTCAGCACTAAGTTTAATTCACCAAAAATTCAGAAGATCAAAAGCGCATACCATAAGAATTCCCAAAATTTAATTCACTAAATTCTAAAATATAGGCTTAAATTGATCCCCTAAATCCAATCCATTGAATGACTGTCGAAACAATAATATAGATCGATAGATTCTATAAACAATAAGGTCAATCAAAGAACAAGAACAATGATCGAAATGGTACTGAATGCTTAGATTATCAAAGCTCTAGAAGAGTTCAACGAGAACTTCTCTGTGAGAGCAAGGTAGGGCGATACAATTGATAAACCTTAATTGTTACATGCATGCAATATATAGGTTAGACAGATAAGCACCACACATGAAAATGGACAGGCCATCTTGGATAAATAAACCTATACAAAATACATTTGAAACAATGCTAATAAGCCCAACAATCCCCCCCTTTGTGTCAAATAAGGTAGGAGTTCTCTATTGTTGTTGTCGTTTCTGCACCTTGAACAATTTCGACATTAAGTTCAGAATGGTGTTTCGAACAACAATGCACCATTTGATCATGTTGTAAAAGCATTTTTTATCACCATCATCATTCAATTTGCACGCTTCGGTTAATTCCAAGATGTAGTTCAAGGCATATGTTGAATGTACGTGTTTATCTAGCAAAAAGAATATACATCTCTGAACTTTCTGATCAGTCTTCCTCTGGTACACCACACTCCAGTTCTCTTTTCTGATTTTGCCCAACTTCGATTCTTCTTTTGGTTTCAGAATCGGTTTCTTTTTCAGCACAACTATGATTTCCACATCCATTTTTGCAAACTCTTGAATGTAGCAAATCAACATCCTCTTGAGATGAGCAACAATTGGCTCATACTTCTGTTTGTCTTTGGATAAAATTAGGAATGGGGAAATCCAATCATAGGATTCATACAAGGTAGATCAGCAAGTGTAAATTCAATTTCAGTACGATTGGCTCCCCTGAATCCCTTGAATCCGATGTTGATGAAGCTTTCAGTTAGAATGGGAGTATAAACCTTTACTGTGACAATCTTTTGTAAACTCCAAGTTTGGAATTAGGGCTTTCCATATTTGAGATAGAAAGAGAAGAGTGTTTGATTAACATTAGAATCAGAAAGGGGAGCTCTCTCAATCTTCTTAAAACATCTAAATGAAACCGCCCTAGGAGCAGTGTTGTAAAACTCGCAGAGTTAGCCGATTACTCCTCCGGGTACTCGCTACTCGGCCCCTTACCGAGATGAGTTACAGAATCTCAAGTACTCCCCGATCAACCCCTTACTGAACTAATCATTATTGTAAAACCCGATCAACTCGGTGATTAATATGCATAATATATGTATGTAATTATTCACACACATGTCATTATTACTACATATATATATATCTAAAATTTCAGTAATTATTCACGAAGTGAGACCATTATGTGTTTTTCAGTTTTTGTGTATTAATATGTATGTAATTTTGTTATATATTTCAATCAACTTAAGATTTTAACTTATGATTTTGACATATATAAGTTCCCTAAAAATATTTTTACATGAATTACCGAATCCGAGTACTCCTCAAGATGCAGAGAGCAGCATGAGGAGCACCTCCGGGAGTTGTTAGGAATTCTGAGGCGAGAACGACTGTATGCCAAGTTCTCGAAGTGTGAGTTTTGGTTACGAGAGGTCCAGTTCCTCGGACATCTGGTCAACCAGGAGGGGATTTTGGTCGATCTGGCCAAAATCGAGGCAGTTATGCAGTGGGAGCTTCCTAGGTCCCCTTCGGATATCAGGAGTTTTCTGGGGTTAGGAGGGTACTACCGGAGGTTCATTCAAGACTTCTTTAAGATTGCAGTACCCCTCACTCGTCTGACAAGGAAAGGGGTGGATTTCCGGTGGGGCCTTGAGTAGCAGAGGGCGTTCTAGACCCTTCGATAGTGTTTATGCGAGGCTCCAGTTTTGACATTCCCCGAGGGAGTTGAGGATTTTGTAGTATTCTGTGATGCATCCATCACAAGGTTGGGGGCGGTCCTCATGCAGAGAGGAAGAGTGATAGCTTATGCATCACGACAGCTGAAGCCGCATGAGACGAGATACCCTACACGTGATCTGGAGTTGGGAGTAGTGGTTTTCGCTCTCAGAATTTGGAGGCATTACCTGTATGGGGTCCGTTGTACCATATATACGGACCACAAGAGCTTGAGACACATTATGGACCAGCCAAATCTGAATATGAGGCAGCGCAGGTGGCTGTATGTAGTTAAGGAGTACGATTGCAAGATCCTTTACCACCCCGGTAAAGCGAATGTGGTTGCAGATGCCTTGAGCCACAAGTCAGTTGGGTCTTCCACCCCGACAACATGTATGATGATAGTGGTGGATTCTCCGTTTATGGGATTGATCAGAGATGTCATGGTTGAGGGCATGCGACCGGAGAACTAGAAGATGGAAAGAATCAAGGGCGAGAATGCCCGGTTTGTGAAAGATAGTCGGGGATTATTGACCCGATGCGGTCGGGTTTGGGTTCCGATGTATGGTGGGGTCAGACGGACAGTTATGAAGGAGGATCATAAGTCTCATTTCTCTATACACCCGGGGGCCACCAAGATGTATTGAGACCTGAGTTTGAGTTATTGTTGGCTGTGTATGAAGCGAGAGATTGCTTGGTATGTCGAGAGGTGCTTGACCTATAGGATGGTCAAGGTCGAGCACCAGAGGCCGCATGGTTTGCTGCAGCCTCTCGAGATTCCCATGTGGAAATGGGAGCTAATCACGATGGATTTCATTACCAAACTACCGAAGATGGCGAACGGGTTTGATGTCATATGGGTCATTGTTGATTAACTGACCAAGAGTGCCTATTTCTTGGCAATACGGGAGAGTTCTTCGGCCGAAAAGCTGGCCGACTTGTATGTTCGTGAGGTCGTCGCTCGCCATGGGGTTCTAATCTCCATTGTTTCAGACCGAGATGTTACATTTACCTCCCGTTTATGGCTGAAGTTCCACGAGGAACTAGGCACACGGCTACACTTTAGCACATCGTTTCATCTGCAGACCGAAGGTCAGAGCGAGTGGACCATCCAAACCCTCGAGAATATGTTGTGGGCATGTCTCATTGATTTCGGTGGGACCTGGGATTCCCAGCTACCTCTCACGGAGTTTACCTACAACAACAGCTATCATTCCAACATCGGCGCCCCGCCTTTTGAGCTGTTGTATGGGTGGAGATGTCGCACTCTAGTTTGTTGGGGCGAGGTCGGACACATTGTGATGGGGTGGACGGAGGTAGTATTGTAAACTACCGAAAGAATCCATCAGATCAGGCAACGATTATAGACCGCCCAAAGCTGACAGAAGAGTTACGTTGACAGACGCAGTTCTGAGTTAGAATTTCAAGTGGGTGATATGGTACTCCTGAAGGTCTCACCCTGGAAGGGTGTTATCCGCTTCAGGAAGAGAGGAAATTAAGTCCCCGTTACATTGGGCCTTTCAGGATCATTTCCAGGATCGACAAGGTGGCTTACAGGTTAGAGCTACCGGAGAACCTCAAATTGGTACATAGCACTTTCCACATCTCGCAGCAGTGAAAATGCATCATGGATCAAGAGGCGGTGGTGTCATTGGATGATATCTAGTTTGATGACCGCTTAATTTATATGGAGAGGCCGGTGGCCATTTTGGAAAGGAAGAAGAAAGTACTACGGAACAAGGAGCTATCATTGGTGAAGGTGTAGTGGGAGCATTGGAGAGGATCTGAGTGGACGTGGGAGCCGGAGGCCGAGATGCGGGAGCATTACCCGACATTGTTTGCCTCGGCAGACCTCGAGGACGAAGTCTAGTTCAAGTGGGGGAGAATTGTAACACCCCGATCTTCAGTTTATTGATTTACATAAGAACTTTCTTGATTTCAAGGTCTACTCGACGAGTTGGTAGCCCTACTCATCGAGTAGCAGTGAATTGGCACGCGTGTTTAGTGATCTACTTGTCAAGTCCAAATAGGGACTCGACGAGTAGAAGCTGGCGGATAAAAACCTAAATCTCGGGGTTTTGGCACCCTATTTAAGGGTCACATATTCCCCTTAGCCTCTCTCACTTCCTCTCTTGGATCCAGAAACCCTAATTCGTGTTTACCCTCTTTATTGTGTGCTTTTTACCTTGAAAGAAGATCCTTTGGAGTTAAGAGCTTAGAGTTCAAGAAGTTGGAGCTAGTGGCTGTTGTAGATCTGGATTCTTCTTTGCCTTGGCATCATTTTGAAGATAACAAGTTATTACCTTCATTCTCCTTTGAGTAGAACCCATCATGGTTGGGTTTAGAGCCCTTTTTAGGGTTTTGTGGTGATTCTCTGTGTTGGGTCAAGATCTGGGGTTGCAACCTCATATCTGAGCTCCTTTGGCCTCCCTTTATTATAAAGTTCAGTAATTGCCAAGTTATGACCTATCCTATTGTCTTAAGCCACTCCTTTTAGTTTATTTTGGGTCACATCATCTTGCATGCACGTAAAGTTTGCAACTTTATGTGATAATCATGCCTTAGAAGCTTAGATCTGCAGTTTGGAGCCTTTGCATGACTTAAAAATATTCTGTATCGATGAAGGTTTTAAGGTACTCGGCGAGTCGCATGGTCGACTTGGAGAGTCATTTGAAGATGGTCATGGACTCGATGAGTTGGATGAACAACTCGGCGAGCCTGATGAAGATTACCTTAGACTCGACGAGCCTGTAGAGCGGCTCAGCAAGTCGGTTAAGGTTTTCCCAAATCGTTAGATATGTAAACTTAGATCGCGAGCCTTAGGAACTCGACGAGTCACTCTGGTGACTCGGCGGGTGGGCGATTATTAAATAAACTCGGTGAGCAGTTGAGGGTACTCGACGAGTTAAGGTCAACATGGACCGTCGACCTTGACTGATGACTTTGACTTTGACCATGAGTTGACCTGTTGACTTTTGAGGATAGTTTTGGAAAGGTTGGATATTTACGAGTATGGTTCGTAATAAATATAGGTGGTGGTGTTTGTGTCAGTGATCCGAGAGTTTGAGCTTATTCCTGCTAGCCGGCATTGCAAGGTGAGTTTTCCTCACTATACTCAAGGGTCTAAGGCACCAAGGCCGACCTTTTGGATTGTTATCTGGTTATGTTATGATAGTATGATCTATTAGATCGGTATCCTAGAGGGTAGGATAATATTATATGATATGTGGTATGAATTGTTAGATCGAAATCCTGGTAGATAGGATGATATGATGAGCTATGTGATAGGATCTATTAGATCAATGTTGGCTGTAGACCGTTATGTGATTATCTGATATATGTGCAGATGTTTGTTTGGTGGTTGAGGTTTATCTGCTTCGTGCGGAGGCCAATAGACCGAGGCATTCCAATCTGTTGGTTGAGGGCCTGGAGTATTCCATCCTGAGGATGATTGGACCCATAGTGTGTTGGCGTTGCAACCTGCTGGTTGAGGGCCTGGGATATTCCAACTCAATGGTTGACTGGACCCATTGTATATTGTGCTTATGATAATATGTATATTTGTGAGTATAGGTATTTTGGGGAAACTCACCAAGATTTCAGGCTTACAGTTTCAGTTTATTGTTTCAGGTACATTAGGGGATCAAGGCAAGGAAAAAGCGTGATCGTACCGCTCTTCACATTTTGTTATGTATTCTGGGAAAAACTCTGATAAAGACTATTTTGGAAACAAATTTGTAGTAACTATTGGCTTTTAAATGTTTTTGGAAAGTTTAAATTTGGCTTAAATTTTTAGGTGTTATATTACCATATCAGAAAAAACATATTTTATGATACAA